TATAACCAAATCATAACCAGATTATAACCCAAACTTTATTCTAATATGATCTAAATATAATTCAAATTTAATACAATTCACCCTAATCCAGCCTAAACCTTAATTAATAATAATTTAATTACAACCTAATTCAATTCAATTCAATCATATCTCTGAAATTAACCATTTTAATCAGATTTTAATCTAAAACAACTCCAATCCAACCTAACTATACATAACTTATCTTAGAATTTGTTAAAACATTACCCTTTATTTATCGCGAAGCGACCCCGAGGTATCGCCCGGGTAGAATTGCTAGTCTCCTATAATATATTACACCAGTTCTCCACTTAGAAAATAGTTACGCCGCCTCCTCGGATGGGTCATGCAACCGCCAATCACCGAAAGTAGAAAAAACAATAAATAAAAAATCGCGACGCGATATAAAAACAAGCATATCGCTGAGATCCGGTGAAATCTTTAATATATTTCTTTTTTCTTTTTAGTTTTTAATTATTTTTAATTTAGTTTTTTCTTTTTCGTTTTTCTTCCTCGTTTCATTTTTTTCAAAAAAAATATTGAAATAAAAAGAAAAGAAAAAAAATAAAAATAAAAAAATAAAAATAAAAATAATTAAAATGAAGAAAATGAAAAGAAAAACGAATTTAAAAAAAAAGAAAAAACTAATCTAAACAAACTAAAGAAACTAAAAAAGAAACAAAAAAGAAAAATGAACGAAATAAAGACAAAAAAAAATTAAAGAAAAAAATAAAACTAAAAAATGTAATAAAATAAAAGAATACGAATGAAAAACAAAGAAGAAGCGAAAAATAAAAAAAAAATAAAAGAAACGAAAATTAAAAAGCAAAAAAAATAAAATGATAACGAAAAAACAAAAAGAAAAAATTTTTAAAAAAATGATAGAACGAAAAATAAAATATTAAAAAAAAAATTTAAAAAGAAAAAATCAAAAAAAAGTAAAAGAAATAAAAAGAACGAAACAAATGAAGCAATCAAATGAAACAAACGAAGAAAATGAAGCAAACAAAGGATATGAAGGATATGAAGGATATGAAGGATATGTAGCAAAAGAAGCAATCGAAACAAATTAAGCAAACGAAGGATACGAAGGATACAAAAAAAAAACAAAATAAATAAAAAAAAATAAATTAAAAAAAATATAAAACGAAAATTTAAAAAAAAATAAAACGAAAAAAAATTAAATTAAAAATAAAAATAATTAAAATGAAGAAAATGAAAAGAAAAACGAATTTAAAAAAAAAGAAAAAACTAATAAAATCGCACTAAATTTTTTTTTACAATAAACATTGATCCTCCTTTATTATAGTATGTTAACTATATACAAATTAAAATAAATAATGAAACTAAAATTATATACAAATTAAAATAATAAAATTAAAAATAATTAACAAATTAAAATAAATAATAAAATAAAACTAAATACTTTTAAAGTTATATACAAATAATTAATTGCAAAAGATATTTTTAAAATAATTATGTTTTAGTTTATAATATATATAATAAATTTTAAAAAATATTATTAAATATATCAAATTGAATAAAGCAAATATTTATATCATTATTAAAAGTATAACAATAAGATTGCTTGTCTAATCCTATTTTTGATTTAGTAAATCTTAAGTTTTTGCTAATTTTTACTAAGATTTTGATATAATTTGGGTATTTTTAAAAGTTTTGATATATATAATCTTACCTTTTTTCAAATTTTATAGATTTAAATAAAGTTTAATATAAATTTCTAAATTTTACCTTTATTACCAATAATTCTTTTAGGTTTTATCTAATAATCTTAATAATAATAATAAAATTAGTAATAAATTTTAAAATAATAATTGTCAAAAAAATTAAGCAGACAAATGAAAACAAATTTTTTTAAGTAAAAAATATATTATTTAAATATAAATATTTAAAATATTAAAAGAAATATATAATAAATTTATTTATACATGTAGTTTTAACTATAAGCTAACAAAAATGAGATTAAAAATATAATATAAAATAATTTTAGAAAACTTAAAATATTTTGATATCTAATTATTATGAAAAGATGAAATAATGTATATTAGAATTGTTATATTAAAATACATTTAATAAAAATATTTTTAAATTTTTAAAATTATTAATTATTAATATATATCATTTTTTTAATTTTTCAATTTTTAAAAATAATCTATATTTAAAAATAAAATTCAGTTTATTGGATTCATATCATAAGACCTATTAAATAATAGTATTTTTATATTTTTGAGATTAAAAGATAGCAAGATATATGAATTTAAAATTTTAATTATTTTTTTAATAATAATCTATCATTTATTTATCTTAAAAAATCACTAGTTAATTACTTTTTTTTTTTTAATTTTTACTTAGAATACATCATAAAATTTATTATAAAAGTATTAATTTTTAATAACATATGTTAAAATATTTAAAAATAATTAAAAATGATTTTAATTTATAAATAAAATTGCTTATAAATTTGTAGGAAATGGATAGCTTAAATTTGAAAAAAATGCAACTTGATATAGATAGAATTAGTAACTTATGGATTTATGTAACGATCGGAATTGCGCAATTCAATTCAAACAAACTATTTCATGTGATGCGTCCGTCTTAGATAGTAAATATTTATATTATATCAATGCAACAATTGCTTCCTTCGTAAGGGAATAAGTACCATCAAAATATTTATCTTAATAATTTGAGTCAAATTATATTTATGTTATGGCCACTTCAACTATAATATTAATTAACAAGAAAAGTATAATAAGAAATAAAATTATCTAAAGGCTTGGAATGTTAGGGAAAAGAAATGTTATATAGTATAAAACCTCTATCCCTGATAATTAAATAATTTAAATTACAAATTTAAAGAAAATTAACAGAATTATCTCAATTGCAAGTATTTACAGTTAATTATATTGACTTAATTTCTTATAAATTAGTTACATGGCAAGAACTTCCATAAAGTGGATGAAAATTTCTATAATAATAAGTTTTTAACCAGTAGACTTTGCAATTTATTGTAGTTGTATAGTTGAAAAAGTGACGTAAATTAGACGCAGTAATTTAAATTAACATAAAAGTACGACCAGATACGTAAATCTATTACGCCCGTGTAAAGTTCGAAAATAAAAATTACGAAACTCACTTTAAACCGAGAAATCAAACACGTGGACTGCAAAGGAAGATTATTTTCATGATAATGGATCCACTTTCATTCTTGGGCAAACAACAAACAACAGTTGTTAAGAAATTGGAAGATTTATTTGATTTTTATTTTAAATTTTTTTTTTTTTGTAAAAATTTGGGTTGTTTATAAATACATGACTTCTATTACAATGGGGTGTCAGTATGATAATTTCGGAAGATTTCGAAAAAAAAAACCGAACCCACTTACTCGTTAAATTCATTACAGAAGTCATGTTTGAATGCCCAGGTTATTTATGCACTTTACAGCTTTTATTTGCGCTGGGTTCCCGGTGGGTTGTTGACAGGAGGAGGAACAACAATCATGTCAACTTTCTTCTCAAGGACTCGTTGATTTGTGCTTTCAAATCGCAGACGCTATTACCATCTTTGAGGTTTTTTTTTTTTAAAGTTGGATTTAAGCTAGTGAGAAGTTTCAATGAAATCGAGCCTGGATTTTAAATAGTTTAAGGGTTTGCTTATTTAAATAAGATTATATATTTACCGCATCACATCAATCTTGCGAAAAATATTCTTTCCTCAATAAAAAGGTGATTCTACTGATGGTTAACGTCGAAGTTATTCGATCTTCTGCAGATCACTAATTCATTTATTACACAATACCCAATTTCTTTGTTAATGTGAGTGTTAAAAAGGGGCAATAATTCTAGCACAGCCGTGATCAATTTAATTAATTTTTTTTTTTTTTTTGCATATAAAACTTAAATCAAAATATATAACTTGAACTACAAACAAAAGGCGATAATTAATAACAACGTTTAATGCGGCTTATTTAATAAGTAAATAAATGTACACAAAGTCTAACGCGTTCAATTAAACCAAAAATTAAAGGGATTGTTGTTCTATCCTTTTAATTGACTGAGAAAATTGTTTTAATAAGGAAAGGTATATGCAATTTTTAAATAAAATTGTCCTATTTACGATTACCTAGTTTAGTTAAAATGCTTTTTATGTGCATCCAAACTCAATAAATTGTACACTCATCTGACAATTTATTTATGTAACAAAAAGGTTGATCACTCATTAATACTTACTCCTTTCGACTTTATCAGCGTGCTACATGAATTAAGTAAATATTTTGGCAATCGTTTCTGAGTAGCAATGAGTTACACTCTCATAATAGTATTTAATGATGTGTGTGAATAATTCCATAACCTCAGGAGGTTCCCATTCTTTAATCTGAACAAATGGACGTTGTCAATTTCATAATTTCTTCGCTAACAAGATTAGCAAGTTTTCTGTCATTCTTTAAAGTTTCTAATTCCCAAGTTACGATAAATTATAATATGGGAAATATTTCTAATATATCTACTTTTCGATATTCTGTTAATACAACCGCAGAGGAAAATGAGAAACTAATTGCTCAAGACACAACCCTAATTATGAAAGCAATGGAGTTTCACTATCGTAAAGATGATAAAGGGCATTAGAAAGAATCATATGTATAAAAAAATTGAAAAAAAAAAATTCGAAGAAACTTTTAAAAATAAAAAAAAAAAAAAAAAATAAAATTGATGATAATTTAATGAATATTTAATTTAACTTGGAATAAAAAAAAAATAAAAAAAAAAAGTTGTAAATTGAAAAATTAACTTTAGGATATATAAATATAATTGAATTATTGAATTAATTATTATTATCAAAGATAAAATGTTAAATCTAGAGGTATAATGATGAGATATTGAATAGGGGAATTTTGATAGGGAATCATCATGTTGGATAGACTACATCTAAGTCCAATATTCTTCGCGTAAGCTACCGAGAGATGAGAACAACATTCTTTTGGTACTTTTAACATTTTTGATTTTAATATATATACTTTTAATTGATCAAAAAACATTTTTCTAATGATATAAAATAATATTAAAAGTAACGATAAAAGAAATATTTTTTTTTTAAAAAGAGAAAAAAAAATATAATTTGATGAAATATTAATAATATTAGATAAAAGAAATATTTTTTTTTTTTTAAAAGAGAGAAAAAAAAAATATTATTATTATTTTTGTTTTTAAAAAAAAGAGAAAAAAAAAATTATAATTTGATGAAATATTAATTAGTTTAGATATATAATAATGTTAAATGTAACGATCAAAGAAATATTATTTTTTTTTAAAAAAAAAATATATATATATATACATGTATATATATATATTGTAATGAATTATTGATTAGTATTAGTAAGTAAAGATGTTAAATGAAACGATCAAAGAAATAAGTAGAGAAAGAGAAATTTGAATTTTAATAATTTTAATAGATAGTTCAGAAATACTCCTTAAATCCTTGTGAAGAATGGCCTAGATCCTCGTTATAAAAAAAAAAATTAAGACGCTTAGCGTTAAAGAAATAATCCTGAATCCCGAGGAAAATTTGATACGTCATAAAGAGTGTCATTTTTTTTTTTGCTAATCGGGAATCAGTATTGGGAATTGGAGAGGCAAAAAGCCTCATTATTCAGCAATTCAGACAAATAATAAATAATGGTATTAACTTTTAAAGTGCCGTCCTTTTTATCATTGTTTCATTTTTTTATCATGTATGTTAGAAAAAATCAATTAAATTATGTCGCTACTCTGTTGATATTGCATTCTAATAATATTGATTAAACAGCGAATGAGCTCGTAACGAAATTTTATTAACAGCCCATCTCGGAACGATATTTAATATTTATTAAATTGTTTTCACAAGTAAACTTTTTTTCTCTCAAAAAAAAAAAAAAAAAAATTCAGGAAATTTGAAATAAAAATTAAATTCTTTATAGCAGCGACAGCAACAGGAACAATCTCAACTATGAGCGGAAGAGAATGAACTTACGAAAAATGAACATGAGAATGCTCATGCCGAAGAGGTTCTCCAGGAATGGATCGAACGTATGGAAAAACGATTTAATAGACCTCCAGTATATACTTGACGAAGAAAGCTCTGTGAGCAGTCAGTCAGGAAGTAGAAGAAACCTTCGCTCAAAGAGCTGCTCTCAAAAAGAAATAGAGCATTTAGAGAATATTTTACAACCTTTTGAATTTATATTAAGCTTGTTTCAAAAATTTATTTCTATTTTATAACGTTATACTTTATGTTCATTTTAAAAGGAAAAAAAGAAGGCGGGGAAAAAGAATATGTGTTAAAAAATATATAATTAATTACTAATTAATTCCTCATTACTGATTGCTAGGATGTTAACTGATGGTTCGTAAGATTTGGTAGTTCGGTCCGCCAATTAACAAAATTTCGAATTTTATTGCATTTTTAGTTTTTGATGTTAATTAAATTAAAAGCATTAATTCGTCATTAATAGAAAATCTATGAAATTTCCTAATTAGGTAAATAAAAATTCTCAATCAAATTTTTTATAATGTAATACGAAACACGGGATAAATTATGAAAATTTAAACCATTGAAAACCAAGACTTTTGAATATTCAAAAACAAAAATTCCAATTTGTACGTTCTCGCGCTTTTTACTTTGCGGCGTTTGTGGATTTCTGCATAATTTATATATATAGTGAAATTTTAGGATTGTGCATTTCAATTGTAACAAAAGCTCCTTTTTACAAATATTTGAATACTGTTTATCATTTTTTATTCAACTTATTCTATTTTGTTTCTAAAAAATATGATACACCAAAGTTTCAGTAAATTTAAGAATTTGCTATTCTTGATTCAATACTATCTTAGCTATACAGGCTGCTGCATATTGAGTATTTCAACTATGTATAGTTTCAATTTTAGGTATATATTTAGCACTTATATCCTTTTTATTAGTCATATCATTTAATTCTGCATACATATCTTCTGCAGAATAATGATCACTTTTATTTGCATTTTCAACTTGAAAAAATCCTCAATAAAGTAACAATTTCTTTTAGTATATAAGTTTCACCTTTTTTCCAAATATCTTATTTTCTTTTAACATTCATCCACGTTTTAATTTAAAATAAATATCAATATTAAAATAAGATGAGTTATAATATTTTTTGAGAAAAAATAATCATTTCACATAAAACTTATAAATCTTTGCACAATATAATTTTTCATTACTTGGTATAGTATTAATCATTTCTTTAAAATTTAGATTTTTTAAAACAATCTTCAAATTATTATATGAGTGAATATAATTACCTATTGTAATTTCTGAGATTATGCTTAATTTAAGTAATTTTACTAATATTGACTTTTATCTTGATTTGTAAATGTAATATTTTTATTATTCAATTGTTCTTTTTGAATTTCTACTAAACAACATTTTGGTTTTATTTCTAGTATATTATATAGTAATCAATAATAGGTAGAAACTTATTATCATAAAATGTATGATTATATATTTTCTATTATAAGGCATAAAATACCATTAAAAACTGTAAATAATAAAATAATTATATTTAATAATTTTAAATTTAAATTTGATTTGATTTTATCTTATTTTATATTTAATATACATATAAGTATTATTTTTTATTAAATTAAATTAACTTTATCTACTCTTAAATTATAGGATTATTTATTAGCTAATTATTTTATTAGTTTAACTTATTTAGAAGAAGCTATTCCTTATATTATAGAGATTCACAGGCAAATTTATCTACTTATTTATTATAAATTCCCTTCTGATTTACTTTTATGAAAAATTAAAATTTTTAAAAAAATTTTTTTAAATTAATTTTAAAATATGTATTATATTATAGTAATTTTTATTTTTTAATTATATAATAAATAATTTACAGTTATTTATAAACTAAAAATTTATAATTTTTAAAAAAATTATAAATTAAAAAATTTCATTATTAATTTTTGATAATCTTATTAATATTTACTTTTAATAATATTAATTATAATAGAATATTATAAAATTTATCATAAAGAATAACTTTAATTATTATACTTTTTATAATTTACTAAGAAATTTTCTGACTTTTATTAGTAGTAAAGTGATTTAATTAGTTTGTAAACATAAATTTAAAGAATTTTTTAAAAAATTATTTATAATAAATTTTTTAAAACTTAAATTTACATTTAAAAAATATCTAATAGACTTAAAATTTCTTCTAATAAAATTAATAAAGTATATATTAAACTATATTTTTCATATTATTATTATATTACTAAAATTAATATTTAATATTTATTAAAAAATAATAATATATTTTTTTAAGTTTGCAGACAAATTTGTCTGCTAGACAATCTAAAAGATAAAAATCTTTTTAAAAATAATCATCATATTTTTCAACAATAATTAATTATTATTTTTAATAAAAAATTTGCTAATTTTGATAATAATACTTATATTTTATGCTTTTTTATAAGTTTAGACAAAAAACCATTTTATGTATTTTTTTGCAGAAGATAATATTATGAAAAAATAAATAAAATACTAAAAAAAAAAAGTATTAATAGCTCAAATGAGAAATTATCGATATCTTATTGGATTTTTTGATATATTTTTTAATGATAATAGATTTTCTATCTAATTAGTATTTTTCTATTAAGGATGGCTTTCCAAAAAATAAGAATCATATTTATCAGTTAACTAATAAGTTATTTGTAATAACATTACATGCAGCTGGTTATGAGAGAATTTAGAATAATATTATGGTAAATATCATATATGATTTTGTTAAGCAAAATTAAAAATTTGCAATAACTTTCTACTTTTTATCTTGCAAATGTGAAAAATGAATTACCTATTAAAATTTACATAAAATATTATACAATGCAAATCTTTATAAAAGATGAAAACTTAGAAGAAGAATTTATTAATAAAGAAAAATAAAATATTTTTCAAATTTCAAAAAATGAATTACTTAAGATTGAAAAACTTTTGAATTTTTATGCTGATAATTTTACAAATGATTTAGAAGATATAATTATTAATACTTTTAATATTTTTAAAAATAATATAATGAGATAACTAGCATTTAAGATAATAATGATATTGAAGAAGATTGAGATCCTGAAAGAGAAGTTGATTTGTTTTAAATAGTAATTAATATATTAATCATAACTTTTATTTTTCTTATTTTGTAATTTCTTTGAAAATTTAAAATAATTACTATAGTTAATGATTAATAATAACATTTGATTTTTGAATTATAAAAATAAATTAAAATCACAAAAAGAATAATAATAAAAGATTAATGTTACATATAAATGATAAAATAATATTTTATATATTAAAATTCTGAATATTATATAAAAAATGTAAGGGTTTTAGAATGATTATAGTTGTTTTTTTTGATGATCATCTACCACAAATGTATTAATTACCGTATATCTTTATTTGATTTTCACAAAGTACTAAATTTGTTATTCATTTTTTTTAATAAAAAAAAAATTTTTTTTGAGAACTAAATCAATTGCTTTACTTTTTAAGCGTGAAATTTTTGTTTTTAGATGTATCAAATAAATTATATGTTAATTGTATATTCTAAATAGCGCATTAATTAGCCTATTTTATCAAAATATATTAATAAATAAATTTGTAATTAGTTTAAATATATTTACTAAAAATATATATATATAAATATTAATTTATTGATTAATTTATTATTAGCTTAGCTTTAATTTGCTATGAAAAATATAATATTTTACTATAGAGTGTTAAAGATGTATCGGATTTATAACGGACTTTCGCCTAATTTACGGAATTTATGATGGTAATTTCAAATTATATATTATAATCCGAAACATTTAGGAATTGGAAATAAGGTATAGCCCGAAACTTTTAGTATATTGGGAAATGAATCATTAGTTTATGAAAAGCATTATAATTTATTAATATTAATGGATCGGCAAACAGCCAAAATCTAATCATCATGTATAAGTGATCCCTCTTTCCGCTTTTTCTATGCAAGCAATACAGAAATAAAATTACCAAAAATAGCATAATAACCAAAATCATAGTTATAATTATGCAGTTTTTATTACATACAGGTAGGTTTAACAATACTGACAATACTGTCAGTCTTATTTCTGTCAGGATTGAACTCGCTAATCCATTTGTAATCAGATTTATTACTCGTATCTAAAATGACCAATTCTTTTCCATATTTAGGATATTCCCAAAAAGCCACGATCATATAATCGTCAACCAAAGTAGCCGAATGGCAATTGCGTAGAGTTGGCGTCGTGGTAGAGACATACGCTGTTGGCCATGTAAAATTTTGTTGTGTTGTGTCTAATATCACAAGGTAATCGTGTTTTAGAATTGAAATTCCGTATACGATAATACGACCATCCTTAGCTTTATAGATTAAAGAAAATTTAATATGTTACCATCCGTTTATTCATTTCACAATGACGGATTTAAGATATAATATAATTACTTAGAACGGCGGAATGGTATTCGCGTGCACCAGGCGTATAACCTGTAGTATGCTAAAATACACTAAATCAATTCTTTACGCACAAAACGTTTAGTCAACCAGTTTAAATTAAAGAATTCTTCTCACCATATTAGACCATGTATCATCAGTTATATTATACAAAGGTTGCTATTTTTTTATTATAATTATTATGATTATTAATTAAAACGCAAATAGATAGTCAAATATGCAATTTATATAAAACAAAACAATTATTCACATTTGTCATATCCATATTGATACCTATGTAAATGATGATGTCCGTTAGTAATAAAGTAGCAGTATAACCATATCTTCCTGCTGGTGTACTTTCAATACTTGTATTGCTAAATGTCCACTTCCCTATCCATGAATCAAAAATATCCATACGATTATTATGTTCATCGTATATACCACTATATTTGTTACTAAGTTCATTTTTGGTAAAAAAACTGCGCCAAGCCGGATATTGTAATTTCGTATCATAGGTATAAACTGCATTTGTATGGTCTGGATTACTGATTCCACTGAACATCACTAGATTAGAATTATTATGACCACAAAGTGTAAATGTGCTCCATGCATGTTCTGGAACACTTGCTGCTTCTGAACCAAGATCTACAAAAGGCGGCTCATCGATTTTAAAAGGTTTACCAACGTTTAAATAAAAAAAATTTTGAAATGGTGGTGATCTTATTCCACCTGTAAAGTAAATTCTAGAATCTACAAGAGCAGCGGTAAGTTGCCAAACAGTATTAGGAGGAGTTAATGCCAAAGTGAATTTGTTGAAATACAAGTAATAAACAAGCATTAAATAAAACATATCCAAGTAAATTCGTGTCATAATGTTTGGAAAATTCATTTCTTATATAGATGGCGATCATCTCATCTCAAACTAAAAATGGTTTCATGTTCAAAAGCTAAAACATTATAGTATTCAGAAGAAAGATTTTCACTTTGAAGGGACCAAAAGAAAATTTAATTTCAAGTGCGCTGGAAGAATTTGAATTAAACCCTTAGAAAATTTATATTAATGAAGTGGTTGATATTATTTTCTCAAGCAACATAAATAAAATTCCAACATTCCTTAAATTCGAAATTGGAATAAGTGAGAACATCTATTAAACGAACACCGCGATTGTGAATTTAGGCCGATTCTAACCTCAAATAATAATAATAAAGTGATAGTCAATATTATATATATTATGAAATTCAAATATGGAAAAGTATTCCGAAATCTTTCTCATTTCGCAAATTTTTATTTGATTTGATTGATTGTAAAACAAACATTTGTTTATTGATCAAGTTAGGTTTTAACAACAAATTTTGAAAAATGAATTTATTATTTTAATTCTTAAATAAAGTTATAGTCATTTTCACGGGTAACAGTAGACACCCTTACGGGAATAACACACGATGATGTGGTTGCCTAATTAATTATTGGCTCATATACAATAAAAGAACGGTTCAAGTATTACAAAAAAAAAAAAAAGTTTCCATTTCTAATAATTAGATTGCCATCGAATTTATAAAAAAAAGTCTAAAAATGGTTTAGTTATAATTTTGTGTAACTTGTGATTTATATACAACCGACTGAATTTCTATTTCCAAAAAAAAAAAAAAAAATGCAAAATACTAAAAGATTAAATGAATCGATATATTGGATTGAGAAGGCTATCGACGAAGAAAAATTAAAATATTATGATTACAAAGATTTTAATTATATTGAAATAATTGGTCGAGGTGCATTTGGACAAGTAATCTGCGCAGATTGAAAAATTCTCAGAAATGTGCATTAAAGTCCTTTTTCGATTTCGACAATAACATTGTAAAAGAAATAATTCATGAGGTATAATTAAATTCTAATTCGTCATCATCTTATTTTGAACTTCTACAAGAAGTTCATTTTCATAGTGACGTCATTCGTTTCTACGGTATAACAAAATTTGAGTCGGGTACGATAATATTTTAAATTAAGATATTATACAACGCAATCAAATAAAGTCCTTCTTCATTAACAATATTAGAAAATCGGTATTTTCAAACGAAATATTCATTAGTAATGGAATTTGCTGACGGAGGAGGTACGCTTCGAGATTATTTGAAGGAATATTTTAAGGACCTTACTTGGGTTGATAAATATAAGTTCTCATGTCAATTAGCTGGTGTTGTCTCATTTTTACATAATATAGGAATCGTGCATCGTGATTTGGTAATATTTTTTAATACCTTCTATTTATTAAATAAAAAATAACTCGACAAAACGAACTCTTGATATAACGATCATTTCATAAATTTTCGTTTAAACGATCTTTTTTAGCACTCTAAAAATGCATTAATTCATCAAAATAATATCAAACTGGCAGATTTCGGATTATCAAGAAGAATCGAAGAATCTTCATCTATACAATCAAAAATTTTTGGTGTGGTCCCTTATGTGGATCCAATGATGTTCAATGGAAATAAATAAATTAATAAAAAGATTGATATCTACAGTGTTGGTGTACTATTGTGGGAGATATCTAGTGGACATCCACCTTTTGATGGAGAAGAAAATAACATTAAGTTGATTCATGAAATTTCAAATGGTCGCATTGAAAAAATTATTCCTGGTACACTTGAAGAATATACAAAAATTTATACTGGTAAATTTATTATTTTGCTTTAATATGGGAGGATTGTTATTAAATCACATTATGTATCATATGACTTTTTCGTAATTGCCATTGGCTTGATTATTAAATTTTATTTTTTTCATATGCTTTGTTTTTTTTTTCAGATTGTTGGGATGGTGAACCGAACAATCGTCCAGATATGAAACAAGTAGTTAACAGATTAAATTCAATTAATACAGGATCAAACAAAATGACGGAACATGATCCGTCAGATAATTATGAAATGAACCATCAAGCATCAAATTATAGCAGCAAAAGTTTAGTACATGTAGGAGTGTCCCAAATTTTTGATTTTAACAATTTTAAACGAGAGGGAACAGAAACAATAGATAATGATGCAGCAGATCCATACGAGCTTAATACTCAGACATTAACTGGTCAAAAACTTATTTCTTTAGGTATAATTCATGAATTAGTCGATCTTATTTCTAAGGAACTATGCAAAGAAGTTAGCTCAAAATTAAGAAATCAACATATTTTTGTTGAACATTTGAAAACTCGAAATATCAAATTACAACACATTATTAATTTGCTATTGGAGAAACAATATGATTCGGATTCTATTTTCTTACATGAATATCTTAAATATTTTGGAATTGTATTAGATAAAAACAAGGAAAAAGCATATAAATTATTTTATGATGTTTCACAACAAAATCATATTTTAGCACAATATTATGTTGGAATATGTTATAAAAATGGAAGTGGTGTAAAGAAAAACAAAAAATTAGCATTCGAATATTGTAAGGTAATAGCTGATATAGATATCTCGATAGGACAACTCCAAATTGGCAGTTATTATGAAAATGGAATAGGTACTAAAAAAAAATTAAAAATGGCTGCTCAATTTTATGAAAAAGCCGCAAATAATAACAATGTAATTGCCATGTATAATATTGGTAATTATTACAGGTATGGAAAAGCAGTCGATAAAGATATAGATAAAGCATTTGTTTGGCATAAGAAATCTGCTGAACAAGGACAAAAAAATGCTCAATATAGTCTTGCTCTTATGTATGAAAATGGAGATGGAGTTGAAAAAGATATAGAAAAGGCAATCTATTGGTATGAGAAATCTCTGAACACAATCACAAAGATGCTCAGATTAGGTTGAAAAAACTTTTAAAATGCAGGGAAAATAGGAATCGATGTAAAATAATTTGAAAATTAATTCTTATGATTTTTACTTTATTTATTATATTTTCTTAAGTATGAATTTTACTTATATAATTTATTAAATTATTTAAAATTTTATATAACTCTAATTATTGATTTACTAAGAAAACCACAATGTACGTCAAAATGATTTTGTTTTATAGATCGATGAATGGAATTTTTTTTTTTATTGATATGGGTAAAATCCTAAGATAAAGTACATCCAACCGTGGTAGAATATTTTGACCGTACCGTTAAGTATCAGCTGCTGCAGAATTCCCGACTTTTACGTTGAACACTCTGCAAAAGTTCTTCGGATTTTGGTTTTAATGATCATTAATTATATGGTACGTTTTGTGAGTTAAAGTACATATCCTCGAATACCTCAATAAAATTAATTGTCTATTCTTTGACTATTCGGGACGTTTGCATTAGAAAAGAGTATAACTGTCAGGATAAATAAAAAATGAATAGATGCTAAAATTATATCTGGTTTATAAAGTGAAATTGATTTTCTCTGGTAGTATCTCTACTCCTTATTGCAAAGGTCTCATTAATAAAATGATTATTCACATATCGAAAATATCAACTCAATGGAATGGTTTATTTATTGCCGTTCTTCAAAAGATTGGTTACACTAATTAGTTCAGGATTTTCGCGAATCGGATATAACACATTTCTGTATATTATTGTTAGAATTCTGTATACTTGAACTTAATGTATAAGATTTTTATCCACGTGAATGAGGAGAAGGTTAAAAAATAATTTTATTTATCACCTTTCATGTTAAGTTGCTTGTGCGGACGATTTCCTTAACGATTGATAAATATTTAATAGTTGTAAAATAATGATTTGTGTCGCGATATCTTTTTTTTAAAAAAAAAAAACTATATAAAACACTTTTATTGAATTCCTTCATATAAAACAAGTTACATTTCATAACGTGTATTAAAAAACTATATCAAATATAAAGTATACCCCAATATTTTTGTCTTTTTTTTTTTTCCGATTTAAAGCTTCCTAATTTAGAGGTTGCAAAAAGATTTTCCTTTGATGGCAGAATCTTTTAATAAAATATTCTTCCTAATGAACTGTTCAAAAACTTCCTCATACTCTTCCTTTACTTCAATCATGCCGATTAATTCTAAATGTAAAAGATTTCTTTCATTATTTTTCCACATGTCCAAAAAATCCCAAAGGTTATATTTGGTGATATACAAGGGATTTTTCAAATACAATTTACGAAGAGAATCAGGGGCTTTGTCAGCCAATAATTCTAATATTTTTGTATATCTCCTCCTATTACCTTCACCATCATCATACTCGATTTGAATTAAAGGTTCTTTAATGAATTCTAATTTTAATATTTTCAGTTTATCACAATTTAATAATAATTGTTCAAAATCTTCATAAGCGATATCTTTATAACAAATCCCAAGAAACTCTAACAAAGGACAAAATGTTGTGATGGTCTTCATATAAGCATGTATATGAGAATCCGGATAAACGGATAACTTTGATTCAATATCAATCTTTCTCATTGAACCATTTCTTGTGGTTGAAATTAACTTTTGAAAAGTGTGTAAAGGTTGAAACCAAGGAACTGAAATATCATTATTGTACTTGAGGCAAAAACTTTCTAGATTTGGCAAAGACGCATTTTCCAAAGCACGCATGAGAGTTAAAGGTAAGACCTCATATGCCCCTTTTTTATGCCTTATCCCACATTCATGAATCAATTTCAGATGAAGTGACTTTAGGTTAGACATGGAAGTAAATATTTCATTTGGTAACCTCACATTCCCACTAAAGGTTAAATGATTCAAAGATTTAGATTGTGATCTTATCTCCTTAAAGACATTGGTATGCGCGGTATTGTCATCCATCATTATGTTAATCTCTTTTAACCCATTTTGAACCTTGATGAGGTAAGTCAACCCTTCGTTATCCACCTCAAATCTATTCACGTTGATATTTTGAATATTCCTACAAACTTTTGCAATAGCTTTATAAGTTGAAGTTATTAACTTCTGATCATATCTTGATGAATTGTCACATTCCAATTCGGTGATCTTTGAAAAGAATAATCCCGACCTCGTAAGCAATGTAATATCCATTTGATATGGAATATTATTGAGTGAAATTGGTGAGCAATGATACACAAATATCTTCCAAAGTTCATTAATCAAAGAATGAACATCATGAAGATGTTCGTTCGTATGATGATTCCATTCCTCACTGGTGAATAATAAATGTGCCATGATGTCGATTTCTGCGCTATTGAAATGACGGATATAATTAACATAATTGAATAAGGGAACTTGTAATTTTGGTAATGATTTCATTAAATTTTTGTTCATATCTTTAATCATGGTGAAATTGGTTAATGATGAACAAGAAAGGATCGTTTTGCAAAGCAATTTTTTTTTTTGATTATGCAAGTTTGGATTGAAAAATGGATTCTTCCATAGGAATAAAATGGAAAGTTCACACCATTGTCGATTCACTAATAAACATGAAAATAATGTTGTTTGGATTTCTTTACATTGAAATGTATTAACAATTATATCAAATAATTGCCAAAGGCAATCTCTGGAAAGTGTAGGTTTTGAAAATGACATTTTTTACCAAAGGAGAGTAAAAATGTTGAGCAATGATGACAGTTTCAACGAAACAATTGACAATTTCAAATTTTCAAAATTTATTTTTTTTTTTTTTTTCGCAAAAAAAAAAAAATATATAATTATAATTATACCAGCACATGATTTGTGACATTTAGTGATGTGTTCATTTTTGGATATTACTTAATTCAATTTAGCTCGTCCCAAAATAGTAAAGTTGTGATTCGGGAAACAATTAACTGTCTTTTGTTATTTGTGTCACCAACTCATTTTTGTTACTAAGCATATGAATGACGATTTGGATGATCTTTTTCAGCAATGCTTCCACATGATCGTGTGATCATGCTCCCTTGTCATACGTTTTTCCAAATAAATATAATTGTAAAATTGCATAAAATTGCAATTACGCCTCATTTCTCTTTTTTTTTTTTTAAAAAAAAAAAACATTGCGTTCTGGAAAGTTTTCGAAAGGAAAAAAAATGTCTGATGAATTAAATGAACAAATGAACAACATGTCCGTTTTTGAAGAAAATTTCACAAGAACTGATTATGATAGTAGTAGTAGTAGTATTGATGATGATAGTAAAAAAACCATGATTGAAGATCGAATCATTCTGAACGTTGGTGGAATCAAGGTAAAAAAAGAAAAAGATAGAGTAAAAGAAAAAAAAAAAAAAAAAATTTTTTTTTTCGTTAAATTAATAATTAACTTCCTTCTCTTGAAATTGGTAGTATGAGACATTTAGATCAACGCTTACAGCGTACCCTGATACATTACTTGGAATCATGTTTTCAGAGCGAAATAAGGAAATGTTACATCCAACAAATGTCAATGAATATTTTTTTGATCGGGATGGTTATATATTTAGATACATTTTACAATATTATCGAACGGGACAAGTTCATTGGCCGGAATTTTCGTCACCATATCAAGTTAATAATTCTTCCATAGACTTGGTTCAAGGGGTAACAAAAACCTTCACATCATCATCACCATCACCATCATCAAATAATCTCGAAGGTGGAAGGATGGATAATTTTGCTGGATTCGGAGGAACGAGTTGTCCAACGTTACCATTTACACGAGCGGAATTAGAACAAGAATTGTTATTTTTTTTAATTCCAACAAAATCGGATGATGATTTGATTGAATCTCTGTTACATGAAGAAACTTCAAGCATTAATTCCACCCAATCATTGACATTTGCAAATAAAGCGGTAGTAGATAATGTTAATGGATTTTTATATGCGTTAAAAGAGGTGATGTATTGTGTGGCGTCATTATTTGAGAAGAAGATCATGATCACATTTTATCACGACAGACAACAACCGATTTTTAAACTAATACCACCAAACCCAAATATCATCGTGAACGAATTGGCCCCCTTTAACGAGAAAATCAAAAGTATTTTAATACCTTATGCCGGCGTTGGTTATACTTTATTAATGAACTTTGAAAATGAGATCGAGGCTTGGATGAAGGAAGAGATCAAAGAGTTAAAATGGACTATGGAAAAACCTGGTGGTTTGCCTAATAGATTTGTTTTACATTTAAATTTTAATGATAAATTTTTAAAACAACAAATTTTAAAAAATAGTTTATTGGCTAAAGTGATAAATAATAATAATAATAATAACAACAATATTAACAATAGTAATGTCGGAGGAAGTTCAAGCGGAAGTGGAAGTGGAATAGGGATCGGGTTGGGAATCGGAAATGGAAGTGGAAGTGGAAATGGAATTGGAAGCTCTTATTCGAATACGGTTTCTGGACCTCCTCCAATGATGGTTCCGACTTCAAATCATTCTTCTTCTACAAGCGGAATTGGAAATACCTTGGGAAATGGTTCGACGACAAATTTCTCATCGTGATCCAACCTTAGAAGGTGAGACGTTACTGTAAATACTTTGGAATTTGTTGTGAATTTTTATTATTTTTTTTTTTTTTTACTTTTATTTTTATTTTATTTTATTTTTTTTAAAAGTAATTAATTTAAATCAAAGGATACGAGTTTCTCATTTATAATTATTAATTTTTGTGATAGTAAATATATGTTTTTTATTTATGTATAAATAAAATTTACACATCAAATTGGTACTGCCTCTGATTATTTATTAATTTTTCAAATGAAAAAAAAAAAGAAGTCTACATCATAATCTAATATGGAAATTCTTTAACCCACAAACCCGAGTCGTCAGTTAATGTGCCTTCCTTAACATGCTTTTCAATTACGTCTAAATAAGGATTCAAATGTATCTTTCCATCAGCTTTAAGCTTTAAAGTCAATCGAATCATTTTCTTTTTCCAAGATTCCAAAAAAAAATCTAACTCTCGAGGTAATAACCACCAAAGATTATGCAAATACAAATGATTTAGATTATACGAGGATAAACGTGCCAGGGCATCCAATAATAGTTTTGCGTGAAGTTCCCTCTCCCTTTCCGATTCATCATCATCATCATATATCGCATAATAATTACTTAAATGCATTTCCAAAAAATCCAGTTCGATGGAATTTAAATGTTCGGCATTAGTTAATAAATGTTTAAAATCATCCAAAAAATCATTAATGTACCAGATTCTAACACTATTAATTTGAGGGCAGTGGGTAATTAATGATTGTAGGTAAGGTTGTAACCCAAGTATCCTTGTCGGGGGTCTCGTGGCATTAATTATCTCGAATTTCCGAAGGTGACCCTTTGTCCTTGAAATTAATCTAGTGTAATGATCTAAAGAAAAATCAAAGGTATAATAATTTAATTGAATAGATAAGGATTCAAGATTTGGTAAAATGGCAGTGTCTAAGAAATAATTTATGTTATTGATTGTGGCGAATTTAATTTGCAAACGTTTTAAATTATATAAAGAGGAAAGGAAAGAATTTTCAAGATAAAAATTTCCTTTAATCGTTAAGGTTTCAATGTAACGGGATTGAATTAATAACGCTTGATCGATAAATCTCAAATCCTTCACCATAGGTTGATTCGTGAATAAATTTAATTCCCTCAAATCATTCTGCGACCTAATCAAGGCGGCCAAACCCCTGTTATCCTTATCCAAAGGTTTGATGGTGATACTTGTCAAATTGTGACAAATTTTAGCCAACCCGGTAAAATTTACGGTTAATTTCAAATGACTTGAATCCTTTTTGAGCTCACATTCCAATTCCCTCAAAGATTCTAAAGAACTTTGAGATCCCGGTAAACAACTTATATTGAAATTATTTGGGCACCTGAGGTACTCCAAATTATTACATTTGATCATGAATAATTTCCAAATGTACTCGAGCAAGGTAACCTTTTTATGTTTGTTTTTAATAAAAATTTTTAACTCATGTTTCCTCTCCAATAACGTTCGAGTTATCCTTTCAATGTCTTGATAATTGACATATTTACAGTAACTTATGTAATCAAATAAAGGTGGTTTGAAGGTTGGACCATCCATGGAGGTCGTTGACTCGTAAATGTCCATCAAATCGTTCTCTTGTTGATAATGATACAATAGACATGATAAAATCGTCTTGCTGATGGAAAGCTTTTTATTATAATTGTTCTTGAATTTATTCGTGCTAGGATTCCATGGATTCCTCCATAGTATTGGCATCGCATTCTCACAAAAATGTTTACTTACTAAAATACATGAATGTAACGTCTTATGCGTTATATGAAGATATTCTGACGAATCGACGATGTACTCAAATATTTGTTTTAAACAATTCGAATTCAATCGAGTTTGAGAATTCATCGTAACAATAATAATAATAATAATAATAATGATTAATTAATTAATTGAAATTAACCTTTTGGAAGGAAAGGAAGAAAATTATGAAAGGGGAAATAAAAAAAAATAAAAAAAAAAATTAATTAATTGACAATGCAAATCTAGTCCGAAAAATTAACAAAAAGTCGCATGTGGATAGGTCTTTCCACGTGAAAGATTTTAATGTCACGCGGCATTGGCGACGGGGTTTCGCGGTGAATAATTTGATATACAAATAATAATAATAATAATAATAATAATAATAAATAATAAATTTTTTTTTTTTATTATTTTGAAACCTGTGTACAACAAATAATGACCCATAAATATTTTTTTTGAAAAAAAAAAAAAAAAAAAAAAAAAAAAAAAAAAAAAAAAATTTAACGGATCGTCAACGAGACGAATCGCATTTTTACGAATGCACGTGTATCATTGATAATACATTCGATCATTTCAAGTAAGGTATTGTTCTTTTTAACATCTTTTTTTCATACGGGAAAAGCATTTGAAATGAGTATTTGAGTATTCATACTGTATATAATGGAGAGTCTCCGAAAAATTAAAAAGTTCTAATTTTGGAAAGTTGATTCTGATTCTTTTTTAAAAATTGATTGACATAAGATGTGCGCCACAATATCACGCTTAATTTTAAAGTCATAATTTTGGCCATTCATTAATTTGAATCATTATTATAACCAAAAAGATTATCAAAAAAGGAAATTCTCGTGACTTGACTGCGTCAAGCTTTTATTTTTAAGACATATACAATGATGATGTTTGTTATTGTTAGATGATTTATAATTTAAAATCGATCATTAGGAAACTAAAAATATGTATTTCATTACGTTTTTCTCTCTCGAAATAGCATATCCGTTTAAACGATCTTAATAATAAGTTTTTTTTTTATCGTTGTTACCTGTATGAATTGTAATCACTTTATGGAAGAAAGTTCAAACCCTATTAATTGCTAATTATAATTGTAAGAATAAGCCGATAATAATTTTGAGTGCTTTTATATAATTTCAACTTTCGGTTCGAAAATTCTATTTTCGTATATAGTTTTTTTTTAATGAAAAAGGAGCAATTTTTAATTCCAATATCTAACAAAATAATATTTAAAGTTTCAAATTATATAAAATATTTCGCAAAGGCCTCTTAACGGTCACATGCTCATTTCTGCGTGTAAATACTTGAAAAAATGGTTGTTAGAACGTTCTTTTCGATCTCAAGTTAGAGAGTCAATTATAAGATCCCACCTTTCTAATACAACTTTGAAATTTATCTAACGAGATATTTTCAGCATTTTGTAAGAAAGGTATAAGATGGGGTAGTACAGGATTGATCCGTCAATTATATCAATTTTAAAATTTTTAATTCAAGCTTGGTGTCGGTGAATGACTTACTCGCTTCATCTCATTCTAAGCTTTTTGGTGTTATGTAAGATACTATTTTCAGGTTTTGAATATTGGTAATTATTTGATATGTTTTATAGAAAGACCACAAGTTACAAGGGCATTTAATATATATAAATGTTTTTTTTTTTTAATTTACTTTGCTTGAAATTGAAATAAACAGTAAATGGACATATATTTTACCATCACTGTCATATCGCGCGAGCAGATACGAATTATGTTTGTTCGCTTCCGGTGCGTTTGTTTTCATGATGAATTTCCGGAAATTCAAGAAAACCTTCTGGTGTCTTTCAAAGCGTCTTCGTTGATTGAAACTTGGGTTCCGTAGCCAAATTGAAACTTTTACATAATTAATTAAGCCTCTCCGTTTACTATCAATTAAGCGGTATGATCTTAATATTTCAGCAGAAAGGTTAAAATTAAAGCGTGAAACATCCAATCTTAATTACTGCGCCATACTATCGCTCTGGATGCGTAGCGGAGAGGAGAAACGTAACGAACGTTTCTCGTTAAGGAAAATGCTCTGAAGGAGTTTCCAATCAAGGGAAACGCCCTGGTGTCGTATCCCATGATGAAAAATGCTCCGAAAGCGATTCCCAAGGTGAGAACGGCATTAAAAACGAACCTCATCATGAGAAATGTCCAGGAAGAGATTCTCGTCATGAAACTCTCGGGAATAAAATTAAACACTTTGATAGCGAATTCACGCTCCGAAAGAAAGAAATGGTAATATTTTTTTATTTTAAAAAAAAAATTTTAAAAATCATTATATTCCTCCTAGGAGTTCTTTTGTCCGATTCCGTTCTTTGATTGGATTGTCAAAAAAGGCATAAACTAGGTGTAAACCGCCGCGTTGCGTCGGGGGTGAAAAGTTGCCTATCAAAATAGTAATATATATATTTTCATTTTATAGCAAAAAAAATTACACCACACCGATCTATTGTTACAAATTTCCCAGTATACAGATACACTATTAGTAATCTACCGGAATATCAATATGACAACACGGATCGGAATCTGCCGACCTAAAAATCCGACTATGAAAATTTTGGAGTAGATCAGGCGCAATTTTATTATATAGATAAAATCAAATTGATGTTTTGTAAGCTATCTTGAGAAGGTCGGACTTCACTTTTTGCCGATGCCACATTTGTTAAGGATTAGCTACTAGTAACACGAATATCTTTTTCACATCGTTGCTGCGCATATTGCAGATCGAATTTTAATTATGTGAATTTTTTTTCCTACAAACAGTAAATGATCAACATCCGTGTGAAAACAAAAAAATAACAATCTAGCACCGAACAATTGGTCTTCCTCTTTGTTAAATATTTAAAAGCTTTATCATTATATCTGTACGGCATCACTCCAGACCAAAAAGACATCTGAATGATTACATTTGTTTTGAAGTAAGAAGTCATTGGGTCCATGATTTATCAGAATTATGGTTAAATGACTTCTCTTTTAAAACAAGTATAAATTCAAGTCTACAGCCATATTTCAAAAAAAAAAAATTTCAAAAAAAAAAAAGTAATAATCTTTTTCTGATGTCCCTAGACGTTTTAAGAGAACATGTTCTTTCGAGTTCAGAGGCGGAACGCGTCGAAGTTAACCAAAGACTTTTGATCGACAACATTTTGGCTCGGTAAGTTGTACGGAATTTGGGGAATTTTATTAAGAAACTACTACTTAAAAATACCAATTTTTAATTATTTAGATATGCTTCTGAATTCGTAATATATCGGGAGTTAATGCAAAATTCCGGTAAATAACCTTTTTAGTGATTTTTCACGTTATAATCTGATATAATATATAATACAATATATTTTATTATTAATTAAGATGATGCAAAGTCTTCGAGTATTCAAATTATATTCGAAACGGCACATCCAGACACGGATAAAAATATAGTAGAGGACAAAATCGTACGCATCCTTTTCAAAAATGATGGTTTCGCTTTTAGATCCGAAGATTGGGATCGATTGAAGAGAATTGCCGATGGAAATCCTAATGAACAAAAAGTATACTTTCTTTTTGGATTGATTATTTTGTTGTATCAAAATTAATTTTCATTTAATAGATAGGAGCTTTTGGTGTAGGCTTTTATTCTTTGTTTTCGGTTTGCGAAAACCCATTGTAAGTTAGCTTATACTCTATTTTTTTTAATAAAACGCGAATAACCCGTTTGAGCTTGATTCGAATAGTGTTGTTTCCGGTGGACAAGCAATGGCCTTTTATTGGTTTAGAGATCAATTATTTTCTAGAAAAGGACTAACTGGCGATGATTACCAGGATTGGACAACATTTTTAATGGATATGAGAGAACCTATAGAGGTAATTAATACAGTACATTTTTTTTATTTAAAAAAAAAAAATTCTTTATTTTTATATAAAGTTAGCTAACATTAGACGCGTTTATTGTTTCATTTAGTTTCCAAGTGTTGATAAATTTTCAAATTTCTTGGTTAATTCATTGGTAAACTTATTTATTTTTAGACGTATATGTTATTACCATATAACATTAATATTAATTATAAAAGGAAAAAATAGGGATTTACGGGAAATCTCCGAGAAATATCTGTGTACTTTAATCATACATTGGTGATACAGTTGTTAAAGGATATTAAAAGACCGAGAATGTTTAACACTTTTATATTTGACCCATTTTCTCCACAAAGGATGTTTAAACTTACTTCAGTAAAGGTTGGGAATGTTATATTAAGCGTCAAGAAATTGCTTGTCCCAACAAATAATATAATTACGTATGATCAAATGGAAGAAACAAATTCTATATCTCTTAGAACTATTAGTGGGAATGTGGAAGTTATAGTCGATGAGAGGTTTTCGGCAGAAATAGAGCGAATTACCAGAAAGAAGCCTCCTAATGAGACCACAATCCAAATAATATATCCTGAATTTGATAATTCATCCGAGGGTAATACGTCTACTCACGTCTTTAAAGATTTACTTTCATATCCAGAGCAAGGAAAGATATATATCGGTTTTCCAACCCATCAAACCACTGGATGTTGTTCTCACATTGCAGCTCGTGTAATTCCTACTGTATGTACTTTATTGGTATCTATTTTATTAATATATATTTTTTTAATTAATATATTATAATTATACTATCTAGATGAACCGAGACTCGATCGACTTGGTGGGAAAGACTCTGTCTATATATAATGAAGAATTATTACGTATAACAGGGATATTGTGTAGAATTGTGTACGAAGATGAAATGTTTCAAATCGAACAAATTTGTAATGGTTGTATCTTGAGATCCAACGGTGAAGGCAAAAATATTGTTCGCGAATGGCTTGAAAAACGAGCAGCACATGTTTTATCATACTTTACTTTCCAAAAAAGTACGCCGGATTCACGTGTTGGTGAAATAATAGAATCGCAATTTTTCAATTGTTCGGAACAAGAATTGTCCGCATTGTCAACAAATGGTGTCTTGCCGATATCTAGTATTCGCATTCCTGATCCAGGTATAGCAGGAATCATCAAACAAGTTCCGATTGTACCAAATATCGTATTCGAACAATGTATTACATTTTTTGATAAAGCAAAAGCAAAGAATATTATAAGAGGATTGACTTTTCAAGATGTTATACTTGAATTGAGAAGTCGAATACTTTGTGAGGATGAAATGGTTAAACTTTTGAAATGGTGGATTGGTTATAGTTTGAATGGAAATAATAATGATTCGGAAAGTACAGAGTTCAAGCAATTTGCTTTTGTACGTATAGGAGATATATATCGAGCTTTATCAACATTTGATTATTACTTGAATCCGGGAATAATTCCACCAGATATAGATTTGCCAATTGATGTTTTTCCATATTCTATTTCTAGAAATTTGCAAACAAGTGATCTTAACTGTTTAGGATTGTCAGAGTTATCTTTGGTTACCTGGGCAAAGTTTATTGTCAACAATCCTAATTTGGAATACTGTTCTACATTCGCTGAAAGGGTTCATAATATTTTAGAAAAAGGTCTAAAAAAAACTTCAAAACCTAACAAGGAAATAATTCGTCAGCTATTTGTTCATAAGAAGTGTATTCCTACTGAATTAGGAATGAAACTTCCTAACGAAGCTTATTTCCAAGATGTTAATTTATTTTCCGACTTACCAACAATTAAATTTCAAAAACCTTTGAGTGTTCAGAATGTGATGCAACTTTTAGGTGTTCGAAAGGTAACAACCACCATTAATGCTATCTAATATTTATATTTTTCGACAACATAAAACTCAATCTCCGAATATATCTATAGGTTGTTGAATTAAATCTCATTTTTGATCGTCTTGTTAGACATAAGGATTTTGATCATATGAAACTTGCAAAATATCTTGCTTCAGAATCGAATCATATCGATGACGATGAAAAAACAAGATTAAAAAATATACCCATCTGGCCTAAAGAAGATAATGTTTATACAAATTCTAGAATTCAACGTGATTTGTGGCTTGAAGATTATATGTATTCAAATTCTGGAATTCGACGCTTCATTATTAGTGATTTACATGTTCCTATAGCATTATTTCGTGAACTTGGTTTACTTATAATTGATTGGAAAAAAAATTGGTCTCGCAATGCACCAGAAGGTATTTTTTTCTCTTGTATTTCCTATATTAAAAGTCGTTAAACAAAAAAAAAAGAACACATATTTATGTTGTTTATATGTATCTTTTTACCGTAGCAAAATTTTTAATTGATCTTGGTTTGCGTGAATATCCCACGCTTAAAACGATCCTAGAATTAGCCGCATCATCATCTACTGATCCAAAGATTCGTGAAAAGGCTCTTAAATATTTTATTGATAATTTTAATGAAAAATATTCGAATTGTTATGACCATTCTAGAGTTACTTTTGCCTTTTTACCTTGTTCGAAACCGGGAAGTTACGCAAAGCCTTTAGAGTGTTTTATTAAACCTGAATGTACGATAATGAAATTCCAAGTAGTACGTCAAGATTTACGGTTTAAAGTGGAACAGCTTGGCGTTCGTCAATATCCTAGTAGCGAAGAACTCCAAAGTAGGTTAATTGTAGATCCACCGCACGATGTGAATAAGGCGAAAGAAATATTTGAATTTTTAGCCTCGCAGCCGGGAAGTTCTAATTGGAAATCTCTTAAAGATCACAATTTTATTCCAGTTCGAGATACAAATCGATCTGGTGAAATTCACTGTACAAATCCGCAAAGTTGTTTCCTCGAAAAAATTGATCAAAGATGCAGGTATATACTGCTTGAACGTTCAATAAAGTTCGTTTCGTATTATGTGCTAATTTATTTTTTTTTTCCAGTTTGAATTTTTTGAATGATTTCTTTACATTTATCGATTTTGAAGAAAAAGCCAATAACTTTCTGAAAAGTTGCGGTGTAATAACCACACCAAGATCGGAAAATATCGCCGAATTGTTAGTGAGATCATCACGTAAAATTTGGAATTCCGATTCCATTCGAAGAGATGAAAAAAAATATTTAGAAATTTTGAATAGAGTTGCCGTTGATTATCAATATGAAATATTTAATAAATCAAGTCTAGTTAAAGATATGAAACGCGCACCTATTTTGGCGGCTTTTAAGTTGAATGGTGTTGTATTGGCTTCAGCGGATAAGATTTTCATAAATGACGACACAGCATATCAACAAATTTTTGATCCGCTGACAGCTCCTGAAGACGACAACTTGAAAACTATGTATAAAGTACGTTTCTAATGATGATGTATTGATTTAAATTATTATTTAAAATTTTTTTTTTTTATTTTTATTTTTGATTTAGTATTTGGGATGTAAATCACTATATGAATCCGTGAAAGAAAATGCAAATCCAATAGGACTGCCTCATGAAACTGTGAAATCTCGAAATATACAAAATACAATCATGGAAAGAGCGCACTTATTATACCATGATCGTAAGAAAGATATTAAGAAAGACATAGAATGGCTTAAGAACTTGAAAGTTAAAAGCGTTAAACATATAAAAGCAACTTATAAATTAGCAAATTATAATCCTCAAACAAAATCTATTGTTTCTTGTATTAAAGATGGAATTCTTTACGTGACACGAGATTCAGAATTTCTTGATATTTCGCAGCATTTAGCCAGGAATATCTACCTTTCCAACAAACTGGAAAATGTTTTACATATCTTCGCAATTTTAACTACACCTTTGTCAACGTTGTCAAAGATATTTCCAGTTGATTGTATGCCCGACTTACCTAATTTACGACGCAGTGTCATTGTCGAGTCTGACGAAGATGAGGCTCCTAACGAACAACCCGACTGCGAAGAGAGATGTGATTTCAACATACAAGTTCCCTTTGCAACACCCGAAAATCTGCGTAATGCTTTACACGATGCCATGAATGCTTGTCGTTCTAACTCGAGAGGCCGTATTGGGAAAAACAAATATATTATTCTAAACCACTGCGTTATTATACCTGGTACGAACCATATATAATATTAATGATTATACAATGAAATATCGTTTTTTTTTTTTAATATTGGCCTACAATCATTTTAGAAAATTTATTGCGCGAAGCTAGAACTTATAAAGGGATTAAGGTCTACAATACACAATCGACGAATTTATTTCATACATATAGTGATCAGTTGACTCGTTTTGTGAATATCCTAATAAGGCTTGCTGAAGTAGTTCAACTCAAGCTCGAAGATATTCATGTCTATTATTATGATGATTCAAGTAAAGTTGCATTTAATAAGGACAAAGCGTTGTATTTCAATTTTAAATCTTACCTCGAATTGCATGATGATGAGTGTAAATTTGGAAATATATGTAATGCCATGTCCTATTGGTTCATAATGGTTTGTCACGAGCTAGCGCATAACTTTGCTCTTGAACATAATGCCACTCACGAAGTAAGTAATAATCATTTATTTCTCAACAATTTCTCTCTTATTAATTTTTCCTTTTTCGTTCATTAGTATTATTTTACATCGTATGTAATGGCTTATATGTCAAGGTATATCGAGATATTGAAAAATCGACCAATTTTGTAATAATCCTACTATATAAATAAGATTATTTTAATTAAATACTTTTATCAATATCATTTAACCTATTCATATTAAAGTATATATTATAAAAAAGTTTTTCACAGTGTTGTGTTCATATTATAAGCAAAAGGAATTAATTGAATAAAATGAAGTAAATGTGACAATATATTTATTTAATAATTGCTCTATATTAAACTAAATAAATGTTAATCACTAAAACATACTAATTAAAATTTAAAAAATGAAAAATAAGGAAAAATAAACGAAGTTACAAATTAAAAGTTATGAAGTTAAAAATAGCGATATCCAACTCATACATATAAAAAAATTAATTAGGATCCTACCATCCTTTTTCATCTACCACCGTAATCTCACCAGACTGGCTATTAATACAAGCAAAGGTACGACGTTTCGGCCGGCATTATATTAAATGTAACAATAGCAATTTCAAAATATATACGTGAAAATTTTGTTATAAAGACTATAAAAATTTTAACTTGTCTCTGTCATAAATGTATACCAGTTTGGGTAAATATTAAAAAAAATAAAATTTCTGATTTAAAATTTTTTTATTACCCGGTAATCCATCGGAGAAAAGAATGACAAAAGCTTGTACCATGTTGCTTAATGTTGTAGAAGTTGAGTTTATTTTTTGCGCTGCTGATTGAACCAATTCTAACTTTTGGTTGGTAGGTACAGTCGAAGAGGTTTAGGCTTTCCGACGTCCTTATGCTTCTCTGGGATTGAGCGTCAAATAAGTTATAGATAGATTTGATAATTTCGGCCGCAGCAAACTTTTTTATTACGCAGAATAGTCAACTTTCTCTAAATGCTCACACTATATCTTTTCTCTTTAAAATGCGCGCAATTATTCAGTCCCAATATATATATATCATATCGAAAATTTCTCTTTAAATGCAAACCCTCTCTTTAAATGCACAATTTTTAAAATTTTCATTATGGGTCTCAAGTGGGTGCATTTAGAGAGAGTTGACTGTATTTATTTATTATTATTATTATTATTTTAATAACGTCTCAGACTTCCCTAATTATATAAGTAATGATTTAATTAATTAATTAGATGGACAACGTTATTGATATAAAACAAAGGATTTATTACCAAACTTATATCTAAATTAGTCATTGCATGAAGGTAAATTAAAGAGTTTTATTAATTTTCTTCCCTTTTTTCTTTATAGTCATATGATTAAAAAAGAAATATAAATTATTGTACAGTTTCATACATTTGTTTATTACTTATTTTTCATTTTACGTACGAAAAAAAAAATCTTTTACCTTATAGATACATTAGTTGAGGAAATCAATAAAATTTTTCGTGACAGGAAAAGTAATAATTTTTCATCGCTCAATTAATATTTCAACGTGTATGTAAAATAGTAAACACATAAACTTGAAATTGTAAATAAAAATAACAAAATTGATACACAATCATTTGGTAGATGTAAATATTATTATATACTTCATCCTTCGGAATAAATTTATTTATTTTAATTTATAAAAAATTTTCTCGTATTTGTTAAAAACGATCAGAACGTTTTATACTTTCAACCTCTAGCATGATCCTATAGGGTCGTATAAAGAAATGTGCAGTAAGTTGGTTTTAAAGTAGCGATAATTATCGCTATACTGTTGCTCGCAAAATAAATGTGATACCTAAATTCAAAATTTTAAAATTATGCAACTTATTAAAGGACCCTGATTACAAAAAATTTTATATAATGAACCATATCTGAGAAATAGATAAAGTGTATATTAAAATTTGGCTTAAATGTATGACATTTCAAAAAAAAAATTAATACTGTATGACAAAAATTCCATATTTATTTAAAATTTAAGTAAAGTGTACTACTTAAACTATTGAATTAAACTGTAATGTGTGTACAATCATTCTACTAATAGCTATTAGCATCATTTTTATCCTTTTTTTTTGTGTTTTTCATAATCTTTTCAGCATTTTTAATGCTATTTTCAATACTATTAATATTATCTCTTCAATAATAAACTTCGTTAACTGAGATAGAATTTTTATGTAATATGTACATATAATAAATAAATTTAGTTTTAATGTTAAATTTTAACAGAAGATAACATATAATATATAATATATATTATATAAATGTCATTGAGGTCATTATTTGAATTGTGATTGATAAATGTATAATAATAATTTTCAATTTGGTTAAAAATATACAATGAAAAATTTTTTCATCATTAAATAAGTGTACAACAAATCATTTTTGTCATTAAGTAGGTATACAATGAATCTTCTTTTTAGTGGATTATTAAATGTACAACAAAAGTCACAACACGTAATCGTCTAAAAAGGAAATTTGTGCAACTGTATGATGAAACCTTTCGAAATTTCTTAAAAGCGTATGACAAGATTCTTAACAGTATAATCAGCGGCCCTCTTATTAATTACAAGTGTTATCAAATTGAAACTAAGTTTGTTGAATTACCTAATTGAAATTTATTAAAATATAAAATTTACTATGATTTGATTATGTGAAATTACGTCATGATTTTTGAGTTTTGGACGTCACATTATTTATGTGACTTATGCTGATTGATATTTAATTGTCAATTTTTTATCAAAAAAAACTTGTTTAATATACAAATATGCACTTAAATATAATTATTTATACTATTACCACTTGTATATCCTCCTTTAAAATGAATTACATCATGTATCCTTTTAGGTATAGACTCAATTAGTTTTAAACAAGTATTAATATCAATTCCATTTCAAACATTCTGAAGTTATTTCCACAGGTCTGTTTTTCCTAAAGCTTGCTCTGAAAGATTTTTTAAACGTTATTCAGCTGTATTTCAAGATGTTCTATAGGATTTAAGTCTGGAGATTGTGCAGAACAATAACACCCATATTCAGAAAGCTATTTCTTGATGAGATTTGCAATATATTTTGAATCATTATCATGTTGAAAAATTGCTTCATCAACATTCATTTTCTAATCTAAAAGGGATTCTATAAGATCTTCTGCAAATATTTGTTGATAAAGCTCACCATCCATTCTACCTTTAATCAAACAAAGGTTGCCAATACCTTTTGATGTAAAATCATTATATTTCTATTACTAAATTTCACTGTAAGCTTTACATACAGGCTTCTTAGTAGTTCACTTAGCTTCTTCTAATAATACTGATGCCTATTAGATTTAAAAAGCATAAACTTACTTTCTTCAGATCACATAACCTTTTCTAATCTTTAACTGTCTAATTTTATACTTTTTAATAAAGTCAAGTTAATGTTTTCAGTATGTTTTTTTTAAGTAAGGCTTTTTCTTTTAATTCTTGTTTCTAAACTATTTCTTCAGAATGTTCTATATATAGTATTAGCATTAATTTGAATATTTTCAAAATTTAAGTTTACTTAGTATTTTAATAACTGTGAAATATTTGTTAGAAGTAACAAGTTAAAGAATTTTCTGTTTAGTATGAGTGAAAAGAACTCTTAGACAACCTGTTTTTAATCTATTTTTAAACCCTTGTTTTCTTTTTTCGTTGATAAATTCTGTATACTGTAAACTCATAAATACCTCTAAATGCAATAAAACTAGCTGGATAGCCTTCTTCAAGAAGAATAAATATTTGTGCTCATGTTTTAATAAATAACTGTGATATATTGAATATTTTGATTTTGTTGAAAAAAGAAAGTGATAATGTTTATTTTTTGTTTATTTTTTGTTTATTTTTTTATATTAACTTTCTTATTATTTTTTGGTTATAGCTTTTATACAAAAATAATCAACATAAAAATGCAAAAGTATTACATTATCAAAAATGGAAAAATTTAACAAAAGATCAGTAATTATATGTTAAGTTTACTTGAATATTTACTGACATCATACTTTCTGATTATAGAAATTTAATATAATTTATTCTATTTTAATTTATTCATATTTAATAAAATATTTAATTTAAAAACTTTAATTTAAGTATTACATATCTTTTGTGAGCAACTATTATCAAGTTCTGACTATATATATATATATAAAGTATTTGCTTAATTTTTTTATAATCTCCTCATTTTATTTTACTAATAATATTTTCATCTTTTCATATCCAAACTTCATCTTTTAAACAAAAAACTGTTCTATATATTTAATATCAAATATTTATTAATTTATTAAAAAATAGATTAACTCTAACATGATTATTTTATACTTTATATTTTAATTCTAATTTTATCTTTTGTGTAATTTTTGTAAATTCTGATTTCTTAAAGTATAATGATGGACTTTATTTTTTAAAAAAAGGATGAAAATAAACTAATCAAATAATTTTAAAATACAAAACATTTTTAAATTAGTATATTTATTGATATAAAATTTTTTTAAATAAATATTATAATATACTAATTTAAATTAACTTTTTATTTATAGATTAATCTTTTATTATTAATTAAAATAAAATTAAGTCATCACGCATTTCTTTATCCTTATTTAATTTTAGTTTACTTTATCTTTAAAAATAGGATTATAAGTTATTACTTTTTTAAATGATTTATTATATATTTTCCATTATAATTAATTTTATAATTTTAAATTAATTACAAAATTTTTAGTAAAATTTAATTATATTTAATTTTATTAAATTAAATATTATAATATAAATAAGTAACATTTATAAAAAAGCATTATACTTTTTATAATTATTGAAATAAATAAAAAATAATTAGCAGGATTTTTAAATAATAAATTATTACATATCTAAAAATTAGTAAATTAAAATATATAATATTCATCTAAAATTTTTAAACAGTTCAAATTAATTTGAAATATTTAATTTAGATTAAATTTGATTTAGTTTATAATTACATTAAATTAATCTAAAATTTTAGATCAGTTTAGATTTTTTAAAAATAATAATAATTTAATCTAAATTGAAAAAATATTTTAACTAATTTGAAAATTTCAAATTAATTTAAAAAATTTAATTTACTTTATTCTAATTAAATTATATATATAATATTTGATAAGATAATTAAAATTATTATTTCTATTAAACGAAAACATATTATTTAATGAGAATATTTTAAATATTATTAATATATATAATATTTAATTTGATTTAAATAACCAAAATTATTATTTCTATCAAATGTTAAGTATTGTTTAATTAGAATGATCTATATCTTATTTCTATTAAACAATATATATATTGTTAAATAGAAATATTCAAAATTAATTTTCATATTAAATAATAAAATATATTTTATTAGAATGAGAAAAAGTATCAATATCATTTCAATTAATGATAAAGTAAAACTAAATTTATCTAAAATTTTTAATTAAGATTAGAATTTATAATTCAGTTCAGATTCAAAATAGTATTTTAGAATTTATAATTTAAATTTGACTAAATTAAAATTTTTAATATAGATTCAGGTTAGCTTAAAATTTAAATGAACTAAACTATTTAAAGTATTATAGATTTTTTTTTTATCTTAACATTAATTTAAAAACAAAAATCTTTAGCTTTAATTAATAATAAATATTAGAAATGTTAAATAGTTATGGTTATATTAATAAATGATATTATAACAGATTATAAATAATGATAAAAAAGTAGATAAAATTGTAATTAATTGTAACATCATCTTTAATCATAATTATTACTAATATTAGTTAGTTAAAAATTTTACATTAACTGATTGTTTGTTTAAAATTTAATTAAAGATTTGATTTAAGATTTTAATTAGCTAAAAAACTATATTTTAGTAAATAATAAACTATATTAAATAAATTTATAATTATTTTTTAAATATATATTTTTTATTTAATTACAAATATAAATTAAAATTTTGAAATTTTAAAAAATTAAAATTTATAATAATACTATATTAATACTAATAAAGATATTTAATAACTTAAAAATAAGTATAATCAAAACTTAAAGAAGTTTAAAAAATATTATATTAGAATTATTATATTACTATTAATTAGTTATTATCTGATTAGTTAATTAAATAGTTGGTTAATTAAAGGTTTTTGATTTATTATTAATTAAATGTTATCAATATAAATGAAAGTTGTTACTAATTTTTCTATAATACATAAAAAAATAAAAAAATATCTATTATATAATTATATAAAATACTTACTTAAATATCAGAATAATATAAAATAATAATATTTATATTTATATATAATTAAATTTATTTACTTTTCATATTATTATTTTAATTTCTTTGTAAACTTATATATGATTACTTTTGAATTTTTATAATAATCTTTCAATACTTATTTTATTAGCTATAAAAAAAGAGGAATTGGTTATAATTTAATTTAAAGATTTTTGTAATTTCTTTATTTTTTTAAATATTTAACTCAAAATACATATTAAATAAATTTAAAAATTAAATATAAAATAATATAAAATAAAAATGTATATTATTACTAGTTTTTTTTTATTTATTAAATAAAATTCTATAAAAATTAATAATTTTCTTTATTATAATAATTAATTTTTTAATAATCATTCCAAAGGTTAAAAAAATTAAGATAATCATAAATAATTTGTCTAAATCTATATAATATTTTTATGAAATTCAAAAATATTCTTCTTTTATAAATAATAGCTCATTGAATTAAAAGCAAGCAATTGATTGACAATTCTAATACTGAATATAGATTAGCATAACTATCAAATTAAAATATTTAAATTATCAAATTTATTTTTAATAAATTTAGCTGTTTTCGAAAATATTATTTTCAAAATAAATTTATATTTATTCAATTTAAATAGTATCATTCATAAAAAATAGTAGCTAAATTTATTTGCAAAGTCATACATGATTTTAAATACTGATTTTTAATTATTACATTGTGTATATCAATCAAACTTTTATTAAATTGTTTATTTTCTTTTTATCTATTTACTTCTTTTACTACATCATAATGACAAACCAATAAATTAAAACTTGCAAAGGATGTTATATTTCTCAAAAATATAAAGAATTTTTAAATAAAAAGGGTATTGTCTTAAAAAAGTGCTTAAAATATCAAAATAAACTTAAAATAACTCGATCAAAAAATAAAAAGCATAAGCTGAATAAAATAATTTGCTATACTGATATTACTAAAACTATATATAACTTTCTAATTTCTTTAAATAATATAAATGAGTTTTATAAAGAAGTAAATGAAAATTAAATATGAATTTTATATTGAACTTTCATTTTTTTTTGATTTTATTTTAGAGAAAGATGAATTGTCAAACAAAGAAAATCATAAAATCAAAATTACCTATCATATAATTACATTTATCTCAGAGAATAATGGATATTCATGGGTATACTGAAATAAAAATCAAAAAAATTCTATACTTATAATATATAATTGCAATTACTGAATTGAACTTAGTAAATGACAGGCCAAACATTCTATAATAGATAAATAGAGAAATATATTAACCTTTTTAGAATAATATAATTATGAGGGAATAATAAATATAGAAATTTTTTCTGAGTCAAATTTAATCAGAGTTGAATATTCTCATAAAATATTATATTTACGATTAAGTCACGTTGAAACTTTTCTAAAAATCAAAAAGTCATTTAAAAGAATATTAATTGCTCTACTTCTGAGATTTGTTAGCAGGTTTATGAATATTAAATTAATAGATATAAGAGTATAACTATTTAACAAATCTATTATTGTAGTCAATTAAATCTCACAAGATATATTATCAACATTCAGATTATTAACAAAATTTTATTAAAAGGATTCAACTTAGAAATAATAGTGAATAGTTTTGATTCTTTTATACCTGCTCTTGGATTTCTGAAAACATTTTTTGATCAATTGATTTATAATAAATTTGATGCTATTATAATTTATGCAACCTATAGAACTAATAATTTGTCATAGAAATTGTATTGCAATCATAGGCGTAATTGATGGCACTGGATTTTCTTTCAGCTATCTCATAATTTCAGCTGAAAAAAAATAGATATAGTACAGAAATCCTTACATATTGGATGCAAGCCTTAAAAGAACGAAATTTAAGATATTTTCCTTTTATTTTAACTGATAAAGATTATTCAAATATAAATGCAGCAAAAACAGCATGGCCTGAAGCTCATTTACAATTATTTATGTGGCATGTACAACATATCATATAAAAAGGTGTACAATTCCAGAATTGTACATGAATAATGTTTATTAATAGAACTTAATTTGGAAATTGTAAATAATTCAAATTCAGCCATATTTTGTCCCTTAGATTTGCAAAAAACAGTAATTAAACTTGTAAAAAAATCATTCAAGTCGTCTTATGTTACTACCAAAATTTGACGGTATTTTCATTATTGATGTGAATGAAATTTGGAAGGAATGTATTAGTGAAATGTTTTAGTTCTACAAAAATAATAATTTGCTTCAACTATGGATTTACCTTTGGAAAGAGTGATATACATAAGAAAAATGGATTTTGTGGGCACTTTCAGCTAATGAAAATATTAGCAATGATCATTGAATCACATTAGCGACATATTAAACATGATCATTTGTATAAATTTTACAAGTCCCGAGTTGATCATTTATGTTACATTCTCATTAAGAAAGTTCTTATTCAACAATTATATCAGATTCAATTACTTCAACAAGGCCGATATTCAGTATCATGGAGATAAGAGTTTAAAAAAGAATGATGAAAAAAAAGAAGTAAAATCAAATAACAATTATTTTACTAATCCAACCAAATGGATATGTGCATGTCCTGCATACAACCAGAGTCATTTTTTTATGTAAACATTTGATCAATTCTGTTGAGAAGGCTGACGCGATATTCTTTAAAAAGGTAAGATGTAATTCATTTTAATAACAGTATATATGTATATGTACGATAGATTATGAATTAAAAATATTATTTTACATTACAGGTACAACGAAATGAGAATTATCCATTAATTTCGTCTTATAAAGGTAAATTTGTTAATGTATTTTGCTTGGAAGATTCTCAAAAACACAAAATAAGCACTCAACTAATCCAGGATTCAATGTTGAGCATGAAAATGATTATATTATTGAAAGCGATGAAAAAGGAGATACGTATGAAGCAGATTTAACTTATTTACATGGAATCTTGGACAAAGTACTTATAGTTTTATATATAATGAGAATTTTGTATGTAGTTCTAATTGCATATTAATCTTTATTAATTCCTATTTTCTAATTGCATTTAAGGCCAAAGAGTTATTAGAAATTCACGTAACAAACCAAAAGGACATTTATAGTTGAAAAAATGTTCGCTCAAATTTTAAATCATTAGAACGAATGAACAATGACATTATGGCACTAAAAAATAGAAGAATGATCCAAAAACATGGCGAAACTTTAATAATAATACAATGTATTGGGAATAATAAATTCTATAGTTGAAATAAAAAATATTTAAACTATTTGCATTCTTTTATATTTAAAATTGAACAAATTATTTATTATAAATTCTATTGTTTTTTTTATTTATATCGAAATACTTAGAAAAAAAAATTTGCTATTTTACCCAACAATTCAACAATCAGCGTCCGAAGTCACGTGAGACCCGCAAGTCAATCCGGCCATCATTTTTTCCGGGCGACGCTAGGGCTGTTCACTATAGTCACGTGAACTTGTCGAACGGTTTTAACGAACATCAAATAAAAATAGGTCTGATGAGGTGAAATTAAAATTAATAATTGATGGATAACGCGTGATAGATTTACCAGAGGTAACAAAAAATAATAAATAAAAAAAAAATGATCCATAAAGGGAAACGTTACGATTCGATAATTCATATGAATATTTTAATTTATCAGAGAATTGCAGAGTGGAACGGCCGGTTTAAATGGTTCAGGCTGGGTCCTTACTATTGAATTCAGTAAATTGACATTATTTCTAGTCCTCCCCTAAAATTCAATGTTACCAGGCACCGGCACGTGATAATATTTTGTGTAACACTACAATGAAAATTAATTTTTTTTTTTTTATTTGAAAATGTCTGAACTTAACCAAAACGTTCTTTATTTAGTCCTCAAAGAACTACCATCTTGCAAAAATAAAACTTGGACGTGGAAACCGCTTTATTCATGTTTATTTGTAAATAGACTTTGGTGTGAAACTGCTGTACCATTACTTTGGAGTAATCCATTGAAATTCATTGAAGATTATGGGTTACTATTTGATCTTATTATTTCATTTATACCAAAAGAATCACAATTACTTCTCAAGAGTCAAGGAAGCGATTTATTTCAAACCCAGCATAAACACCATTTATTCGATTACAAAAGTTACTGCAAATATTTGAATTTTCATTGCATTGATGAAACTATCAGAGTTGGACTCCATTCTTCCAATACAACACTTCTTCAACGTTTTTATAGAACATGAAATTTATAAAATGATTGCTAGTAGATGTTTCGCTGTTAAATCTTTAGACGTGATGGATTTTGGAATAAGTGTAAAACTTCGATTTTATCATTTCACGGGAGCAACGAATTTTCTTGGAGGACTTATGTCTTTATATTGTAATTTAATTAAAGACACAACATATTTTGATGTCTTAGCACATACCTGAAATACATTAGAAAAGATACACATCGTTCATTGGTCAGGCGATTTTCATAATTTGGGTTTAGTCAGGTTAATCAAGTATCAAAAGGGTTTAAAATGGTTCGTGTTTGAAAATAAATATCAAAGCAATTTTCAACAAAAAGAAATTAGTATTTCTTTGATTAAACACGCCATTTCCCTAATCCTTAAATTTTTATAAATGTGTTCACATATGCAAATATAGAAACATCCAAAATATCATAGCAATAACTCCTCAAATAATAATTTTATTTTTACTTCCTTTGTTTCTCGATATCGTATATGCAAATCACAAGATCAAAGCTTCAGCATTGGTCAGTTGCGTAATGATCAAATCCGTGCGACGCCTCAAAATATCTTCCGAAGCCGACCCAGCCGTGCTGGTGTGGCTTGAATTTATCAGGGATAATAATTCCCATAACTAATCATATCATAACTTGCCGGTAGACCGTGGAAGAATCAGAACCCAATCTGGAAAGAAAGATTTATTACAGCTGCAGAAACATGGGAGGTTTGCTATTAAAATCGAGTTACGAACATAGTAATTCATATGATCCGTAAGGTGACTTTAATAGCTTACCTCCCACGTGTTGGCGACAAGTGCTGATTAACAGGTGCCAAAATAAACCTCTTAAATTTGTAACCCATTTTCTTTTCTTGCCTATTCCTTTGAAAATGTAATTTTAAAAATATGTCGACCTTGAAATTATGATTAACGAAAGTACAAAGAATTCCTTCGTGTCTTGATTTTCTCCAGCTTGAATTATTACATCATAGATGTCATCGGTAAAAGAAGTTTCCCATGATAAAAAAAAATTGACCTATTAGAATCTACCGCAGCTTGACAATCTCTTGAGTTGATTATCACGTGATTTTTGTAACTTTTTGAAAGATAAAAATGTGGAGTTCATTCAACAATCAACTGCTAAAAGTTATTTGCAAACATCAATATAGGAATAATTTTGTGTTAATGTAATAATTTATGAATAAGGCGCAAACAGTTTATTAGTCATTGTATATATAAATCGAAGCTTAAAATCGCTATTAAGCTTTCTTGTTTGTTTATTATTTTTGAATCTCGTGTATGAGAATTTGACAGTCTCATTGTATTATATAATTTTATTATACTTTGCTAGTCCATTCTAATGTGAATGAAATTATTCACAAAGTATCATTTAACATAAGAATACAAATCAAAGATAGAATTTTTCAATAAAATGTGATCGATGTCATATTTGAAAAAAATAATTATCTAATAGTATATATTTGCTCCACTTTTTTTATTTAATCAATTTGTTATAGTGATTACAAACTGTAATGGTTATATAATAGTTACTCTTTTATACCAGTGTTCACTAAACAACATATATTTTTTGCCATTTAAAATATAAAATGATTACAAACTATGATATGCAAATATATCGAAAAAAGAAGTAAATGATACGAAATAAAAAATTATAAAGGTAAAATTTTTTCATCTCTTTTAAGAATTATCAATACTATGATAAAATGTGTTACTTGATTAAACTTTCATTAAGTTTTTCAGTAAAATCCAGCAAATGACTTAAATGACGCGCTTGAGGATGTGATTTAGTAATTATAGGTGTATTCAAAAAGTTGCTTTGATTTTGATTTAAAATTTTATCAGCTTCATAAAATTCCATGATCTCCTTTTTTAGTTCCTTATCAAAATTTTTACTTTTAATATTCATAATCCAATTATTAATAATCTTTTTAATTTCTAATGCAGTTGGCCTTTTTAATGGATCTATATCCCAAAATTTCTTCATTAAATTTATATAACATTGCGGTGTATTTTCAATAATTTCTGGTCGTTTACCCTTACAAATATCTAAAGCAAGTTGAAAATCATG